TGATAAGATTGTGTCTAACATGCTGTATGAAGCTTTTGCAGAGAAAATATGCTCACAGCAGCATGGCTTTGTGAGAGGTCGCTCTACAGTGTCTAATTTAGCAGTGTACTGTGACTTCATTGCTGAAGCTCTTGACATGTCACAGCAAGTGGATGCAGTTTATACAGATTTCTCTAAAGCTTTTGACAGTGTTAGTCACAATCTCCTGATTGATAAGTTGAAGGATTTGAAACTTCAAAGTAATATTTTACATTGGTTCCAATCTTATCTAACAGGTAGGACTCAAATGGTTAGGGTTCACGGTGTCATTTCCAAACTTATTTATGTGCTGTCCGGCGTGCCACAGGGATCTCATATAGGGCCCATTTTGTTCCTCATCTTTATCAATGACCTTGTCTTAAATTTGCGTTTTGTGACATCCTAACTCTTTGCCGATGATTTAAAATTGTATGCGGTCATTCGTAGTGTGGCGGATTCTATTTTGTTCCAGCAAGACCTGGATTACCTTGGAGAATGGTCGTTGCGCAATGATCTCCCTTTTAATGTTTCTAAGTGTTCTGTGATAACCTTCTCCAAGCACCGAGCCCCTGCTCATTTTGAGTATGCTATTAGTGGTTCTATTCTGGACCGGGTTCATTTAGTTAAGGATCTAGGTGTTACATTTTCTTCAGACTTCTTATTTAGTGAGCATATTAATTTAGTTACCCTTCAGGCTCTTAGACTTTTTGACTTTATCCGTAGAGTTTCTGCGCATTTTAGAGTTGGTACAATCCTCTACCTGTATAAATCCATCGTTATGCCAATTCTAACGTATGCATCTCCAATATGGTCTCCTCCTCATACACGCCAAGGGTGGGATAAAATCGAATCCGTCCAGCACCATGTGCTTCGTTTTTTGTCATTTAAGTTAAATAGACCCATGTCCATATATGACCACGATTATAGTAAGATCTTTGAGGCTTTGAACGTCCCAACGTTGGAGTCTAGGCGTCATACCTATGACCTCGCTTTGGCGTTCAGAGTCCTTGGAGGTCATATTTTGGCTCCAGATCTGTCTCAGCTGTTTCAGGTGAGGGAGGTCAACTACTCCCTGAGAGTTGCCCGTCCTTTATTTGACAACTTCGCTAGGACTTCTTACCGTTTCCACTCGGTGGTTGTCAGAGTAAAGAGGCGGTGGAACCTACTGTCGCCTGGGCTAGCTGATGCAAGTCTGGAGACGAACCTGTTTAAGTCTAGGGTCAAGGACTACTTTTTGAAATACTATGTTCCCTATTAGTTATATTCATTGTATTGTACTTTTGTTTGTTTTGTTTTGTCAGTTGAGTCTATCATTCTTTTAGCTGTTTTGCTCTTTTTTGTTAATTACTTTTGTAATTGGGCAACTTGCCCGTTTTGTATAATAAATAAATAAATAAATAAATAAAATAAATAAATACTTCAGATACGATTTTATATTATAATCTTTCCTTAAACACGGTAAAAAGCCATCAAATATCTACTTTAATGGGTAGAATGATTATTCGATGTTTAAATAGTCTTAAAACTAAACGGTTTTCGCTTAGCATCACCCAAATTTTAAATTTGGCGGGCGAATCTACCTGCTGGAAGGTTCACCACACGCCCGCCATGAGCGCCATCTCCTTACCGCGTATCCCCGTAATTCAAAGCGAAAACAATAGAGAGCGCCAGCTCCTTGCTGCTGTTGACAAACGTCAACAAACCTCGGGTTATAATAATTATAACCTCCTTTATTATCAAGCATTAACTCAGTCATGTTTGTGCAGTATTATTATATTATATTTGTGTTCAGTACCTCGTAAAAAGGAACCGCAAAAGATGGAATCTGCCGGGATTCTAAATTCATTAACAACAAACACATTAGTTTCTAATAAACATCTAAGTGTCAGTTCTTGCGTTTGCTTCGATGATTCATAGTACCTGTGTAATGTAAGTACCTAATTAGTTGTCTAATTTTGCTTGGTGTATACCTACGGAGTAATTTTGGAAATAGTATGTGATGCATTATATAATGCATTTGAATTCCTAGGTTTCACCTGACTCAAAGCGTTTGCTGCTATTATCTAGAAGCGTTCCGACTCATTTATCGGAGAATTGAGCGTTTCCTATCGGCCCCTCTGCAATTATGAGAGTAGTCCAGTAGTCCAAGAATCCTTTAGGAACTTAAATTAATGACTCAGATGGTGCTTTTGAGCCAATTTTCAAAGAATTAAAGGCATTTTTTTCAAAATCTACAGTCTGTGAGCTCTCCGTGTGACCGAAGTGCTCTCCTTGCTATATGACGCGTAACCCTTCAATTTTTAGTTTAGTCCAAAGACCTCATAGTAACCTAAATTAATGAACCAGGTGGTGCTCTTATGTCAACTTTCGAAGAAATGAAAGGCATTTTTTTTTCAAATTTACAGTCTTTGAAAATGAGTTGTATGTGTGATGTCGCGGAGCAAAGTGCCCTACTTTTGGGCCTCGTACTCCCTTGAATTTTGAGTTTAGTCCAAAGATCTTTTAGGAACTTAAATTAATGACCCAGGTGATGTGCTTGATGCCCACTTTTAAAGAATTAAAGGCATTTTTCAAAATTTACAGTCCGTCAAAATGAGCTTTCCGGGTGATTTTGCTGAAAATGGACCTTTAACCCAATTTGACCCTAGCCCCCCCCCCAAATTTTAGCGTACCCCAAAATCGTTTGACGTGCATAAGGAGACCATAAATATGGTGTTTTGTGAGAATTTGGAATGAAATCGAACAGATAGATTCTGAGATATCGCTGTAGACAGATTTGGGGGACGTCGGACGGACGGACACACATTTTTTCAAGTATGGTTATTTTGACTCCTGGGACCTTAAAACGTCTAGAAATGATGAAATTTCAACTTTTTTTCCCCTTGCAGACTGAAAATACTTCCTCTACCCTAGGGGAGCGAGAAAGTAAAAACAATTAGTCAGATTGGCCAAAATTCACCCAGCCCTATTTCAATGAGTGTTCTAAGAAGTCCAAAATCTGCCCAAATTTGAGTAATTTGGGGGAGGGCGGGTCTTTTTAGGACATTTTGGACCAAAACATTGGACTTATCAGGAACGTCAAACCTTGACTCCATGCAGTATGTTGCACAGTGGTCTTTGTCCAATATACAAAACTTTTGAGAGGCTCATGGAGGCTATGCAGAGGCTCATTTGCTAACCACTGAAACATGGCTACATAGGTTTTACAAAATCTTTCATTTAGAACCATTAAGAGAAGCAGACCTTTCGTGACATCCGCTTTTAGGTATACCGATTGTTTGTAAGAGGGATTCCATAGTTCAAAAGATAGATTTTTCACTTCAAAATAATGTACTAACAAGGGGATCGACCTTACACTCATGCCTCCTCAAAATCGATTGGCTTTCGGCCAAATTGTAGTTCATGAAAATCCATTGGAGTTCTTCCGTCTTTGAGCCTTCTTGCCAATACCCCCGGTAAACGGTAAAATGAACCCCTGTATTTCGGGGTGCACAGGGCCGCGTGCATATGATAGTTTCTTTGCTATCGTCCTCTTATCTGACAATGTGGCGTAGTGGCTAGCGACGGCGACTCATACTCTACAGGTTCGGGGTTCGATTCTCGGCCGGGCGCTTACTTTTTTCCCTTGGTTTTTCTAATGCTTTTTCTATTTCTCCCATCCTGATCTGTTAATTGATTTTTTGATATGCACTACCTCCCCCCCCCCCCCCTACTATCACTAATGTGTCACTTTTTTCATATGAGTGGTTGTATTGTCCTCCTTCCTCTCTCCGGCAGTCAGGTAAAAATTGAAATTTATTGGTCTCGTAATCGTGGAACATTTCAACAAGTTACAAAAATAAACGCAATATATGCGTATTTTAAACCTCTTGCTCTTTGGAGCATGCCTGTAAATTCGATGTTCCGGAAAGTATTTGGTATTTCCACTTCAAACTTTGGCGCTAAGTACAGTTATTTCATTTTGCATCTATTAGATATAAGGGCATATTATCGATTGGTCGAACTTTTCCCCTCCCCCTCCCATGATGATTCTGTATACATTGAATCTATAACATGCTTCATGCATTCATAGAATGTGTGAAGCTCTGAGGGTACGCGATTTTAAAGTTACCCGTCACAGGATAGGGACCTATGTCTCAAATACCTTTCGGNGGGGGGGGGTCGACTAACCAGAAAATTAACATTTAACAAAATGAACGGCACACGGTTCCCACGGTTGGTTTTTCTATGTGTTAGTTATAGATTCAATGTACACGGAATCATCATGGGAGGGGAGAGGGGACAAGTTCGGCCAATTGATATTATGGCCTTACATCTAGTAGATGCAAAATGAAATAACTGTACATAGCGCCAAAGTTTGAAGTGGAAATACCAAATACTTTCCGGAACATCGAATTTACAGGCATGCTACAAAGAGCAAGAGGTTTAAAATGCGCATATATTGCGTTTATTTTTGTAACTTGTTGAAATGTTCCACGATTACGAGACCAATAAATTTCAATTTTTACCTGACTGCCGGAGAGAAGAAGGAGGACAATACAACCACTCATATGAAAAAAGTGATACATTAGTGATAGTAGGGGGGGGGGGGGGAGGTAGTGCACATCAAAAAATCAATTAACAGATCAGGATGGGAGAAATAGAAAAAGCATTAGAAAAACCAAGGGAAAAAAGTAAGCGCCCGGCCGAGAATCGAACCCCGAACCTGTAGAGTATGAGTCGCCGTCGCTAGCCACTACGCCACATTGTCAGATAAGAGGACGATAGCAAAGAAACTATCATATGCGCGCGGCCCTGTGCACCCCGAAATACAGGGGTTAATTTTACCCTTTACCAGGGGCATTGGCAAGAAGGCTCAAAGACGTGTCCAATGGATTATCATGAACTTCAATTTGGCCAAAAGCCAATCGATTTTGAGGAGGCACGAGTGTAAGGTGTAAGTCAAAGATTTCCTGTAAAAATTATAAAAATGGTAGACCTACTTGTAACAGTTGTGGAAGTTGCAGTAGCAACTGATGTGGTAGTTTCAGGCAATTCCATTCCTTCTGAAGAGACAGTTGTACATTCAATTGTTTCGGTATTTTCCTATAAAATACGAAAGCTTTACATATTTCATGCGAAACTCTTGGAGGAAAAAAGCTGAGGGGAGAGTGATGGCCAATGGAGAGAGGGTGCAATGGGTGCAGAGCAGTGGCAGTTGGTACAGCAGAGAGCGGGGGAGTCTATCAGAAGGAGGAAGCCACCTACTTCGGCTGTTTTTTTTTTGGTTTGTGGGGTGGCCAGTGCTATGGGTTAAAACAAAATGTCAGCTCACATTAACTTGAAATTGAAGAATTTCTTATTCAAAGCTTTTTGGCCTCACCCATCGTCAGGACTTAGCAAAAACACAGTTTGAGACAATACATGATAAATATCAGTTCATACAAATGATGTCAATGTTTGTGATGGTTTATCTTTATCTCTTACATATACGGTTTCTCTCTCATCACTTGGGATTCATGGTCCTTTCGCTTTCCACTAGAGAGGTGTGCATATCCGATACAGCTCATTTGCTGCCAGATCTACTTCTGTTTGCACATTTAGTAGAGTTCCATTGTTCCTCACTGCCTCATTAATTTCGAATTTCTCCAACTCGCTTAGAAGTCTCCTATCCTTACATTTATGTAATATTTTATTTAGTTTATATCACTATGGTGGTTTTCACCTTTAATGTGCCTATAAACATTGGAATTTTTTGAAGACATATGTTCTTTGAATCTGGAATTTATCGATCGCTCTGTTTTGCCTAGGTATTTTTTGTGGCATGTGTTACATTGAATTTTGTATACAGTTTCCTTGCGGTTTGTTATTTGTGGATCGTTTCCTCCTGATACTGTCAGCATTAAGTTTGATTTTTTCTAGGATGTTATTACTAGTTGCAAAAGCCGGTTTGGCGTTGGCATTATTGAAATATTTTCCTTCACTTATACTGATTGGGCTAACATAGTCTATTTTGATGAATTTTATTTTTCTTTTCTGGGTAAATTTTGGTCTTTTTGTATGGTTGTCCTATTTTTGTGTTTCCTTAAAATACTATTGACTATATGCCATTACCTTTTGCTCCGTCCTGTATAATACTAATTTCTTGTTGTCTATCTTTACACTTCAATGAGATAGAAAAAACTCTGTGTGCCATTGAATGAATTGCGGCATGTTTATGGCTGTTGGGGCTGTCAGAGTTGAATGGAATGATACAATTAATAGCCGTAGCTTTTCTTTATATTTTAAATGGAATCAGATAATTCCCATCGATGTATAGCATTAGGTCGAGAAAATGATGGTGTTTTCAGTCATTCTTTCAATTGACAATTGTAAACATTTATTGATGGCGTTTAAATAGTTAGTGAAGTTTTTTCCATCATTCTGCCTGTACCAGCAAAGACATATATGGTATCATCAATGTATCATAAGTATTTTTTAACTTTATCATAAAAAGAATTATTTTTTGTAATCATATGTTTTTCTTCGTAATCCATTAAAAGTATTTTGGCAATTGTTCCAGTTAGTGGTAAACCCATTGCTACGCCATTTTCAGCCTCAAATACTCGTCCTTTAAGCATGAAATAGTTTTAATTGACAATCGCGCGCTTCATTGTGATTAATTCTTCTCTTTTGCTATCATTAATTTCAAAAATGTAACCCTAACAACTGTGCAAACTATCAAAACATAAAGACCTTCAGTCAAAAAATAGCCAATAATGACCTAGCAATAGTTAATGTAGATAAAAGCAGCTGAAATATACCATTCCAGTTACCAAAGACAACAACATTAATGCAGCTAGAGCACCTAGTTTTAAACCTGTTATTACATTACACAAAAATGGAAATCCTATTCGCCCTCTTTTGAACACCATAGGATGCCCTGCATACAAAATAGCCAAACATTCCAGATTCAAAGAACATATGTCTTCAAAAAATTCCAATGTTTATAGGCACATTAAAGGTGAAAACCACCATAGTGATATAAACTAAGTAAAATATTACATAAATGTAAGGATAGGAGACTTCTAAGCGAGTTGGAGAAATTCGAAATTAATGAGGCAGTGAGGAACAATGGAACTCTACTAAATGTGCAAACAGAAGTAGATCTGGCAGCAAATGAGCTGTATCGGATATGCACACCTCTCTAGTGGAAAGCGAAAGGACCATGAATCCCAAGTGATGAGAGAGAAACCGGATATGTAAGAGATAAAGATAAACCATCACAAACATTGACATCATTTGTACGAACTGATATTTATCATGTATTGTCTCAAACTGTGTTTTTGCTAAGTCCTGACGATGGGTGAGGCCAAAAAGCTTTGAATAAGAAATTCTTCAATTTTAAGTTAATGTGAGCTGACATTTTGTTTTAACCCATAGCACTGGCCACCCCACAAACCAAAAAACAAAAAATTGTACAAAGTGCTACTACCATAATATTGTATATCAACACTTTCAATACATTGGCTATTCCAAAACAAGTGTCCATCGACCTCGTTTTCAAAAAGTAAAAGAGATATCCACAAGCGGTTTGTAAGAGGCTCTAGAAATGCTCCTAAAAAATCAGACATGGTCTCTAAAAAATGAAGACCCTCACAAAACATGGCCCCAAGAAATTACTTTAATCCTAATTTTTCTGATTGGTGATTTTCCATCAACCTTTCTTAAGTTACAGCCCTAAGTATTGTAATTGGACATTCTGCATACAATTTTCTGCTAAATGGGCCTTGACATATAAGGCCGAATTTCATTAGGCTTTTAAATAACCTTCAATGGCCTCAAAAAATTGTGCTTAAAGGACTACATGGCTCCGAAAACTCAGAGGTGAGTTTGGAACTTGAGTACTTGATAGCATTCACAGCTTATAGATCATATTAAAAATTGTAAAATGATCAGGATCTGGTGTACCAATACAAGTCATAAAATGAATGAGTATAGTTTAAACATGTATTCTTACCACAGTTAAGCCAGAAATGTTGTCCGGATCTCCATCTTGCATCATTTCTTTGCGTAACATCTCTTCTGCCTGCTCGCGCTCCCTTTCCTTCCTTTCCTCTTCTTCTTTTAAACGTCTTTCTTCACGCTCTTTGCGGCCTTTCAGAATTAATGCTATAAAATTATGAGACAATGAACAGGTTTTGTAAGAAGAAATTTTGAAATATGAGTATACCATGCCAAGCAAGAACCGCTAACTCAATATTGCTAAATTTGTTTTCAACAAATTTCCATGATCAGTTGGCTTGCCCGTATCCTCTTGAACTCGATAGGTCTAATTTCCATACATTACCCCAAAACTGATACTAGAAAATAGACAACTGTAATCATAATCAGGTCATCAGGGGATATAATTGAATGTAGCTGGGGATCAAAACTCAAAGCAACTCAAAATCTAATGCATCACTAGGCAGGGTGATAATATGAGCATTTTACTGAGTGTTTCTTTTCACAATTTCTTTTAGAACACTACTCGCACAAAAAAATTTACTGACACCAACACCTAATCAAGATATTGATGTTTGTATGTAACACTGGTTACAAAAAATTTGAATTTCCCGCTCACCAGAAAAAACAAGAGTTTATGCCCATCAAATCAGGCACCAGGTTTCAGAGGTTTCGACAGGCTTCTTAATCAAGCAAAGTTCCCTCCCAACATCGTATTCTTCAAAGCGTAAACTGTGCACAACAGCTGACAATGAGCCAATTGAGTTTGTCATAATTTTTACTGCAAAGACTGTAACTATGACGTTTAGTGTGCGATTTGACTCAAGTAGATAATTGTATTTTTGGGACCAAGAAATAATAAATGCATCATCAAAAAACATTATTATAATGGTTATGAGTTACTCTAAATAATGTTCGTTGCATGAATCATTTTCTGTGTGAAGTTTTGATGAAGGTCCATAAGCCATATTACTTAGTTTTGCACCTTGTCTAGGTCCAATTTAATGATTATGAAGGTTTCAGGGTAGCCTTTGCTAGATATAATAATTAAGTCAAAACTTACAGAGATAACATATTTTACTATGTTTTAAAGATGTCAAAGCTTTCCGGCATGTGCCTTTATCAGATAATGATGATATGAGAACATTCCACATGTTAACTGTAGTTTCAGTAAGTTACATCTTTATTTTACATTTTTTCTACGCTACATTCAATGGCGAAAGCCAGAAAGCTTTCATGACTTGAGAAAAATTAATTAATTTTTTCTTATTTGTACACAAGAAAAATGCAAAACATATGTTCTTAGACAAAGACAAATAGAAAGTGTCTTTAAAAAACTGATTTCTGACTTTAACATAAATTTTTGCTCTAGAACTTGAGATTGACTGATATCAAGCCCTTATTTCTAACATTGTAAAAGGAAGCCAAAAAAGCTAGCATTGATTAAAACTTTATCACTTTAAAGCAAAAATATCTTTTCTTTTACTTAAACTAGAGTTGACAGTCATAAGGGACCAGAAGTTCTCCAGCCAGCTCCAGATTTTGACCAAGAAATGGGCACTCCACGCAGCCCTGATTTTACCTTTTAATTTAAGAACTTTTAGAGCCCCTGCATCCCATGCTCAAGGGACTTTCTTCGTGTCAAAAGATGAGAACAGTTGGCCCATTCCAAGAGCACAAGCCCCTCTGGGTTTGTGTGACTTTGCAATCTGTTTTAATAAGTTACACATCTTGGTGATGTGGTCCTCTACTGCAGTGACATTGGGGACAGCGCAGATATCTGCATTCATCTCATACTAAGGCACTTTACTTATACTTCTTACACTTTTCATCTGGGCAACCTCAGTCTTATCCTCATTTGTTTTGGCTGCACAGCCCCACAACTGGCAGCCATAACTCCAAAAGGAACTCAATATTGACTTGTAGAGAAGCAGTTTAAAACTGCGTTTCAAATTTACGGATAATTTAGATTTGTTACCTAGTTGCCACTGCATGTTGCTGAACTTTATTTTCAGTTGTTCAATTTCTTTCTGAAACTAGTCACCCCACTAGTAGAGCCTGGAATCCAAGCGAAGGCCCACATATTTTACTGTCTTATCAAAGGGGCTTTCTACTTCCTCTTGTTACAATAGTATGTGTATGTATTTCCCATTTATAAAGACCACTTCATCGGCTTTGGAGCTATTAAGTCTGGTTCTGTTTTTTTAGGATCCATTTATGTGTATCATTCACATGTTCCTGAACATTCATGCACACCTTTCTGTAGATTTTCGATGAGGGAACTGTTAGAGTGTCATCTGCGTTTACTCCTACTTTCCCTCCTCTCTTGGTCGACTTTAAACAATAAAATGTATCATCCCCGTACGTTTTGACAAAATTATAGTATCTAACACTAATCACCCTAAAACCCTAATTTTTATGAAGTGCTACTACCATAATTTTGGACTTCAACAACTTTAAAAATCATAATCTAACACCCTACCTATGAACAGATGGAGGGACATGAACTATGAAGGTTAACCGAAAAAAAAGGGAAGAAAAGGAAGAAGACAACTGAAACTGCTTACCATTTTCAACTTCTAGGTATGATTTCTTGTTTCCCTTGTGTTGTTCTGTTAATTTCTCAGTAATTTCCATTTGACGCACAATTTCGTCCCGAAAATCTTGAATTTCTCGGCACAATGTTGCCTCAAATTCTTTGGAGTCTAAGGTATTCATTAATTCATCTAGCTGGGTTGGTGTTGAGTAATACCAGGCCTCTCCTTCTTCACTTTCCCTGAATAATGAATAAAAAATGAGCATACTTGTGGATTCTTGAGGGACAAACAACTATTTTAAAACCTAAAGAAGGTCATGCAGTGTCTCACCTGAATTTTGATCAGTGTGGCTTAATGGAGCTATAATTCGACGTTTTGGCAATGGATCCTAGAAACTTTAAAGTTATTTACTTACAAAAGTGGCAGAAAAGTTGCTAACTGAAGTAGAAAAATGACATACTCAGGAGCCACAGAATTAGAGTACAGGTTAGGAGCAATGTTCTCTGGCAGAGGGGTCTTTCAGATTTTAACACAATCATGAATATTCATGCCAAATTTCAGCATCTTGCTGCAAAGAAGTTACGAAAAATAGGGTCATTAGTCAAGAAAACTAGGAGAAACGGGGCTGAGGCTGACTTCCAAATGGCGGCCAAAAGCTAGGACAAAGTGGCCGACTGAATTTAAGTCTCGAGTTTTACTTGTTCTAGACACGTACATGAGTAGCTCTGCCAAATTTGATGTAAATAGGTAAATTTCAGTCACCCAAAATGAGAAAATGAAGAAAACCAGATTTTGGCGGCCATCTTGGAAAATGGCGGGCAAATTTCGGGATCACAAGATAGACGAAGCTTGAGTCTCGATTGAATTTCGTTCTAAGTACGTGACATTTTCACCAGATTTTATGCTAATGGCCTAAACTGAAAAATCACAGTGACTTTTTACCCTAGGCAGACCCTTTAGCCTTTCATTTTTTCAATATGGCAAAGGAGTTCTTGCATGCCTCTGGGATTTGCAATTCATGTAGTTCTCTTCCGTGAAATTTTGGGAGAAGCACAATAAAGCCACTGGTTTTCTCTGAAACGAACTCCACAAATCACTCGCGGCTGGCGTCTCTTTTAGTTATTTCCAGTCGAGGACTGCAGGAATGAAAAGGGAATCGACCCGAAGGAATACGAATTTCATCATCTAGAAGCCTTCCTGGCACCTTTGAGGAAGTAAGAAGGTTGTTCTGATTTTAAGAGTATGGTTTCCTAGCAAAATTTTGAAATCAATCAGAACACTCCTTAACCCATGTCTGAAGGGAACACGGAGAAAGGAGCAGGCCTCCTTCAGGTAAATGAAATGTAGCTTGGCTGGGATTACCTGGATATTGTTCCTGTCATTCAGTCTGTACTTAATGATTGCTACAAGAGAAGCACGTGAGGGTCGCTAGTATGTGATAATTCTACTTGGTATAGTGTTATAAAGCATCAGAGGGGTGTGTCAAAACACCACACTATTGCTGTACAGTGAAGTTTCATATTCAGTCGATTATTACAGCCTGACAAATTTATAAAATTTCCCTCACCTAAAAAGGTGATTGGAATGATAAAGCAAAAAGGGTGCAAATTAATAAGATTGAATCCTGCCATTGATTTTCGGTAGGATAAATAGAAATACCCAGGGCCGGACCGGCTAAGGCAGCTAGGCAGCGATCGCTGCCTAAGAATTGTCGGCTCAGGGGCCCCTGAGCCGACAATTCCTGAATTTATTCTTCAATAAATGAAATGAATCCATGTAAGAGTGAAAAATCCTTGAAAAAAATCCTTGAATTTATTCTTCAATAAATGAAATGAATCCTTAAAAAACCCTCGTTTTTTCCAGTCCTTGAGGGTTTAACTCATAACACCTTCTCTGAGGCCCATACGGCCGGAAAAAGGTAACCTCAGGGGCCCCTGAAAAGATGCCAGCAAGGGCCCCTCAGCGATCGAAAAATATGAGCTTCAAGGGCCCTGGAACGGCCCTCGAAGCTATATTTTCCCGGCCTCTAAGGGTTTTTTACTTTAAACAGCATGACTCTTTCTCTGAGACCCCTGTAGCCCGAAGAAGGTCACTTCTGGGGCATCTGGGGCCCTTGAAAATATGTCAGCAGGGGCCCTTCCGGGTCTCGAAAGCTCTTTTTTCCGGTCTTTGAAGGTTACTCACTTTAAGATGACTTCTTTTTTGAGGCGCCCCTACTGGCCCTGCAGCCGGGAGAAGGTAACTTCAGGGGCGGGGCCTCTGAAAAGATACCAGCAGAGGCCCCTGCGTAAAGTTTGAGGAGGTTATGTGCTTTTTTATAAACAAGAGGAATCGCCGAATTTTTCAAAAAATATCTAAAAAATAGGTGACATTTTCGGAGGCGCTATTTATCAAATTTCAATGCGAAAGAGCCTAAAACTTCTACTTTCAGGGGTTAAATTTTCAAAATTTTCCGGGGGAGGACCCCCAGACCCCCCTCCATCCATGGGGGGTGACCCCCCATAGGGGCCCAGTTTTTACGTCAGGAGCCCCAAAATCCTAGTAGCTGCCTAACTTTTTTTACGCCAGTCCGACTCTGGAAATACCCAAGTGTTTATATACTCACCACGAATTCACTCAACTAGCATCACTGTACCAGGCGTGCTAAGAATTGTGGACTTTTGAATGGTATGGAGATGATCCAGAAGTTTGAGCATAAGAAGTTGAGTTGCAGTAAGGTTATAGTGTGACCTTCAGTTTTTTTTAGTTTTAGTTGAGAAATTAGAATACAATAGCCAATGAAGATTTTGATCACACAAGAAACCTGTAGCGGTAGGCATTAAGGATTGAGGCAAAAAATCAAAAATTCTTCCCTTCTACTGACTTGCATAAATGGGCCAAAACCAGGATTTTTAGGTCAACAAGTAGGGGCTACAGCTTTGGCTATTTGACATTATGCTAGGGTCATAAACTAAGATAAATCACACAGGAGGAAAATACAAATATATATAATTAATAAAATCTGAGGGAAAAAGAAACTATTAAAATCTCACACAAAAATCCTTCTGGAGAGGAACCAATATTTTCGACCATGTCGGTCAAAGCCTAGATGCTCCTGTCTGGACAATAAACCAGATTTCTCAACATCCGGAATGCAATCCATGACACCAACAACCTATATCAACATAAAAACAAAACAGTTCAAACTCTCCATCAGTTTACAGAGAAGAATTAGATACTACTGGTTCCCTTAGTTACTGTTATATACAGAGTAATCAGATTGTCTGCCTGTATTAACATATAAGAGGAGAGCAGAATTTATTATACCTTGTGAGCTTTACAAAGACTGCACTGCCAATCCTCTTGAGGAACGTCAACAAGGGGTGGTTCAACACATTCAAGATGAAAGACAGCAGGGCAAGTTTCGCAACAAAGCAGATCACCGACACGATGACAAACTCGACAATGGTCATCATAAATAAAGCCACCTGTATCAAACAAAGAACAAAACCATTAAAACATGTGCAAGTCCAATTCTTTACTGCACAAGCAAAAAGAAAACAGCAGTTGAGAAAATTACCGACTTGCCTTTTTATGTTTTCAATTACATACACAGACAAAAGCTTTGAAGGAGGAACAACTTGGTATTTAATTTAACGTGCTGTGATTGAATGCTGCTGACTTATGTTAAGTAGAATCATATCTCCAAAACCGTCAATCCTACGGAGGAATTCCTCAGAACTTGGATTAAAGAACACAAAGTTTCCTATAAGAAACACTAAAAATTTATTATATTGAGACTTCCAGTTTAAGAGATATCGCGATAGTTTACTGCGGCTGGGAAAGTTGAGTTTTGCTTGAAATCACGCTTTCTCCATGACAGAGATACATGCATCTTCCACAGGGATTGGGTCAAGAACGGAATCTTGTCATACCTTCACCTTTTTCAGAGGAAGGTTAGAGAAGTTCAAATATGGCGGAATATTTGATCCAGCCCCCCCAGGGGGAGAGGGGGGGGGGGGTCAGAGAAAAATCAACATTTCGGCATAACTTTTGAACGATTACAGATATTGAGTTGAAAATTTGAATGAAAGAATAAGAAACATGAAACAACCTTACTATAGAGTAGGTATAAGAAATTGACAATCGGTTAATTTTTGACAGAGATGTGGCTCATTAAATTTTTTGAAAAATTTTAATTTTTGATTTTTCAAATTTCGATGTGAGGGGCCGGACGAAATGTTATTAATATGTGTGCAACAGATATCCCTTGTATTTCTCTTTAAAATGAGCAAAGAGCATGTTGGGGAAATGATCAGTTTCGGAGTTATGCTTTTTCAAAATTGACGAGACAGGGTCCGCATATGGGCCTCGGGTCGGAGTCCCGAAGCTGCGCCTAGGAGCGTCCGAGAGTACCCTATTTCACGCTGATCTCCATAATTTTTTAACATTGTACAGCATTCTGACCACCTAGTAAGCATACATAGATGAATAAGCCATAGATAATTTCCCTTCCCCTTTTTTTCATTAAAACAACTCTGGAATTTGGGGACGTTGCACTAGCGATTGGCATGCTAGTTACTTTTTTCTTGAATGGTCTTCGTGATTTAGTAGTATGCATATGATCACTACTTAAGGACGAAAAATAATTCTGGGCACTGATTGTGGATATGTAACCGAACAAGAAGCAAACGAAAGTAGACTGTGTACCAACATCCGGTGGGTAATCGAATGGATCACTTGTTTCTTAAAAAGATTCAAACATTTCCACAATCTGGTTGTTTCGAGTGCTGTTTCGAGCTTATATGACCATGTACGAATCGCCTGCCCGATACATAATTACATTTTCAAACGTCAATATGGTGACTCAGATAATAAGGAAATTGCCACTGAGATGTTGCAACGTCTTTATATGCCGAACATGGTACGAAGATCGTTCATGATGGAAATTGGACCAGAAAATGTGTAATATTTGAAGACGTTACAGATCAACACTTCAAAAAACTACCAAAATGTTCAAACGATTTTAAGGGAGCTCTCTCGGGATTGTACCAACAACGCCTCGCGCGGAGTTATATCGCGGATTATTTTGCGAGGGGAAACTTAATTTTCAAGTGACCCACGATAATTCGTAGCCAGATTTCAAAAATACAAAATTAGTGGCGAATTCACTTCTTTTCGTAAAAGCTCGCATTCTTTCGAGACATTTCGCAAATAACGTTCATTACAATTTTATTTTGGTTGATATGAATTAATTATCCCGTAAAGTCATTATTGGATATTACTGTTCTTGTAAGAACGGTGCGCGTACTTTATAAACCCTTGTGGTCACAACATAAGTATATCGTCGTACTTACTCTATGGGCGCCATAAGAAAATCGCTCCTCCGGCTGCAAATTTGAACGAAGATTTTCTGCTTCAGAAATATGACTTTGAATTCTTGGGCTCAGGAGATAAAGGGGACGACAATAAAAGGCCGGATTCAGACGACGATGCGTAAAAAGCTGTATCACGGTGAATGTAATTTTACAATCATACTTGCCCTTTACTGAATATTGTCTATTGTTCTGTTACCCAAAATACATGCGCAGAATCCTTTGTCGACCTTAAGTAGTGATCATGTGCATACTACTAAGACAAAAGTAACAAGCATGCCAATCGGCCCAATTCTTATGGGAGATGCATACATCTCTTTGCAGTTTTCTTAAAAACGGCGAGTCTGAGGAAAAAATTGTTTGTACTGAAATGAAAGTGCATAAACTTTCTGATAGAGTAGTGCCTATTATTTTACCAAGGGGTTTGCCCCTAGATCGCTGTGCTGTCGAGCCCAATGGCGGCTGCTACAATGAGTTTCCGCTTGGCTGCATCATGAATCATTGCGGTACAAAATACGATGGCATCACTTATTCTGGTAGATTTATCAGGGAGATGAGCTATTTAATCTATTTATGCATATACCTCTTCCGTTTCCTGAATGCCCCCCCCCCTTCCACCCATAGAGTGTTAGTTGTAGGTCATAACGACCAATGGCCGCGATTGAGGATAATATTATTTTTTTATTTTTTATTCAATACCTACTAAATGGTACACAACAAATCTTTTTTCTGAATCAGGGCAAGGGAAAAAAATTAATGAAAAATCGGTGTAGAGAGAGGAAGATAAGGAATCATTCGTGTATTGTTTGTAGTTTTAGTTTAGTTTATGGTCAATTCTACTTCGCTCTCTGCTTCCTCCTCGATCACTGTTTTTACATAATTACTGATAATACTTGCAGTTTCATAGCTCACGATTTCATTGAGGAACACAAGCCTAATTTTGGTACACCACTCAAGATAAGTCTAGTTCCAAATTTGCAATGTACATAAAACCAGAGACCTAGTTTTTGAATAAGTTTGTCTACACTGTACACTGACCGATACAGCAGAAACGATTGTTTGTCTATTCATTCTTCAAACTTATCATCTCTCCGCTGTCCCTACAGTTTTCTTCAAATATAATGCTGTATTGCAAACAGTAGTAAGTACAAAACACCAATAATTTTCAGAGTCAGGTATATGGAAATGTAACATTTAATTCAGTTAGGTACTAAACTCCAGCTTGATGCCTAAACTCCAGCCTGATGCCTATCTGGTGACTCTACAACTCAGCGTTTCCTGTGGATCAGTTGAAGAGAACCATACCTAAGTAAAACCATGCTCACTTCCTAAATGAAAAGTAAAAAATGAGCCTAGCACAACAACATAGACAAGCCTAAACTGCAAAGTGATAGAGGAACTTAACGGAAAAAAGGCACATACCTAAAAATAGCGTTGTGAGATAAACGCATTTATTAACACTTTCTGGCTACTGATGGTGACTTACATCAGAACTTGGACATTTCGATCAAAGTTCATTACACCCCAGAATGAATGACGCTCATTGGTAAAACTTATACTTCTTTTAGTGTGATGGGAGGATTTTGTAAAATTTTCTGGAAATAAACCAGCGGTCATAGGTTTATAGAGCTGGACTTGTAGGACATGAACGAGTTACTACAAAAAATTAAGTTTATTAATCTCTTCTGTATGTAAAAATAAAATAAAAAACCTTCTTTGATGTCAAATGTATTTCCCGCCTGCTCCTTAGTACCGCACGCTATCTCCACAAGGCGTCCTTACTCAGAGGTACATAGATGAGATACGTTGCAAAGCAGATTTGCAAATTTTCTAACCAATATTCCATACAGAACCATGATTTGCGCAAAGAAAATTACTGAAACTAACACCTTACTAAGATACCTATTTAATGTTAATTGAAAAGTAAATTCAAACATTTCACTCATGAAAAAACAACAGTCTACACGAGTCAAACCGCGCACTAAACGCTATCATGATAGTCTCCACCTTATGAAAATATGGCAACCTGTATCTCCCGTGCTTTGGCTCAGCTATTGCATATTGTTAACACGCTGGAGAACACAAGGCAGGGAAAGAGCATTGCTCCTCATTATAGAGTCTTCCTAGACCGTTGCAGTTCGCGGTTTAATTCAAGTAGACTACAGTTTTTCTTGTGAGCAGGGAATTCAAATTTCCCACAGCCTATGTAAACTAAAAAAGTTAATACTTAGGTATCTTAGTTAGGGGATAATTTCAGTAATTTTCGCTGCATGAATCGTGCTAAAAACTGTTAAAATTATTGCTAGGAAACATGTATCAGTATGCTAAAATTCGCAGCTTGTCTACTGGGCCATTCCTTATTCTCAACCCCCCCCCCCCCCCCNTTATGAAAGAACCCTTTCAAAGCGATTGTGAGAGAACAACTCGACTGATGAGAAAGTAAATTTTGAACTCTAGCTTGGATTGTTATTTTATTGTTAGGTACCTAAATGCTGGAAAAGAAAGCGATTAATTCATGGGTCATTCAGTAGAAATCTTATATTGAGAATATTTTTTACTAGAAGTTCCCCTCTTGTTCTCTTTAAAAACCCTTTCATCCTAGAGGATTCAAGGCACATCGTAGGTTGAGACAAAAAATAATTACTGTTTATAACACCATCTGATTGCATGTATTGACCTATTGAGTGGTGCTGATTTGGAGTCAAGATAATTCACAGTGGTTTCTGGCTCGGTCGAACTAGTGTGCGATTATTGCATTAATTAAGTAAAAAATATTGGCAGAATAAGAAATTTTAGCAAAAAAAAAAAATGATAGCCCCTACTCATGAGCCTAAAGAATTATCTTAAAAATAAATAAGCAAAATTAAGAAACACAAAATGATTGCGGTGCACGCACAGGTCGTAAGACAGTATGTTGGAGTTTTTTGCCAACAAGCGTTAAAATTCAACATAAAGTTGAAAATGTCAATACAGAGGGAAAAAGCTCAAATGAGCACAGTTTTCCCTCCAAGAGATATGCTGTTTGGTGCAACACTAGTTGCATCCATTCAGGAAGGCAACTGCAGACGCGTTTCGGCCTTGTTGGGCCAATCCTCAGTACAGTGTAGCCTCCTGAATTTTCTGCTACCAAGCTAGAGAGGTCGTGAAAACCAGCCCAAAACTTGGGCAAGCGGATGCTGGCGGCAAGTAAACTTGCGCCATCTAGTGAGCGATTATCCAAACAGCTCTGCATAAGCCTTGGCAAGGCAGTTTTACACTAACTGACTGTGGTGGACGCACAGGTCGTAAAATAGTATGCTGGAGTTTTTTGCCAACGTGCGTTAAAATTCAGCAAATCTTTTTGGGGGGAAAACTGTGCTTATAAGAGCTTTTCTCCTCTATATTGAGATTTTCAGATATATACTGAATTTTAACGCACGTTGGCAAAGAACTCCAACATACTAAAATTAAGGGAAATGAAAACAGGATCGTTTTTGGAAAAATATCTCACATTCGATACAGTTTTCGCTTTCTGTATGGAATGCAAGGTTTTTTCCCAAAAAGGATACTGCTTTCATTTCTCTTGATTTTTCCAATTTTTTGGTTTGGTTCGAGTGATTTTCGGCTTGCTTGCGGGGCTACAGTTCTTTAGAAAGCCGAAAATTAAAAAACTGCCTAGATTTTTTACATAATCAATGTACGCCACTTCCGGAAACAGTGACAAGACAGCTGAATCAAAGATTGGCATTTGTCTCAACAAACTATAAACAAGCTCCAGGGGGGCAGAAAGTTCTTTACCTCCTTATTTTTGGAGGCAGCCTTTACAACATCGTTCACATAAGAATATTTTCCCTTTATACTGCTGTCCAAACTTGAACTTTACTATTTTCCTGGCATAAAAGGGTGTGCTTCACTATTTTTTGCGCACAAAAAGGCACATCACTTTTTGATGCAAAAAGTAACATGCTTAGTGCTTTCTTTCTCAAAAAATAACATACTAAATGGTTTCCTTCACCAAAAGAAGTGCATCCATGCCTGGTAGAGAGAAGTACTTAATACAAAAATTGAAAAAAGCAAAATCCCAAATGCCTTCTGTTTATTTTTCTCCCTTTCAGGTGCCTTCACATTTGGACAGCTTTAAACAGAAAGGAACCAAGCCAAATCAGCTATTGCCAAATTTAACTGGGCAATTTAATCTTTAACATGAAAACGGCTGTGCGAATTTTCTCCATAGTACAAAGCAAATTCCTTAAAATTTTCAGAGGAATCTGCACAAACGTTCTCTTGTAAAAAATTAATTTTCCCAGTTAAATTTGGCAATATCTGATGTGGCTTGGTTCCTTTCTGCTAAACGGGACCCATTCGACCCCTGATGGACGGACTGAGCACTTTCTGCACCCCTGCAACCCGACCACAGACTTTGGCTGTTCAATTGAAAGCAATGGAACAAGTCCATTTCATAAGGTGTTTCCCAGGGGAATGCAGTTCCATTTAATATAAATAGATGTAAACGTTTGTGGTCAGGCTGCTGGGGAGTTTTAAATGTTGAGGAAATAGAAAGAAAGATAGGCACCACTCTTAAACGCAATGTAGCATGAAGACAGCCTAACCCCACTGAGCTTTCATTACTTTTTCTGCTATGAAGTATAAGTTTTCATATGAATCACATCTGTTTGCAAAATTCACTGTCAAGAGGGCTTTTTTTTTATGCGGATCGCAGTGGAGCGCGGTGGATCGCGATGGACATCGGTATTTTTTTATTCTGTTCCTCAGCGTGATCCAAGCGTTCCAGGTGGATCAGGGTGGAACGCTGGATCGCTCTTCCGAGGTGGAGCGAGCTCGCGATCCACTGTGATCCTAACCTAGTGCCAGGAAGTTGCCGTCCCCAAAAAATCAAAACAATAACAAATCGAACCAAATTCCAAGTTTGGATTTTTTTATCACTTGGAACACTTGGATCGGTCCGGATCACTCAGGATTCCAATCCAGTGCGTTCCACTGCGATCCACCCTGATCTGCGATAAAAAAAAAAGCCCTAAGGAGGCGTATTCCCTGAATCAATGAATTTCATCTCCTGGATAAGATCATGATATGGAAACCAGGGGAAAATTTTCTGAGCCCTGGAAAGGGGGCACCTAACCGGCTGATTCTTGCATGAATGCCAGTTTACCTGTTTAAGCAATTAACCCTCAATGCCACCTCAGGATTACCAGTACTCATGGTTGTCATCACTATGACCCACTGCAGGTCCCCTAGAAAAAGCTAAGTAGCTCTTCTTATTTTGCTGTAGGAGACCCCGAAAATAGCAGCTGTCTCGGGCACCACCGAAAAATAAAAAAGTGAAGCTATTTAATCCCCTATTATTCTCCAAAAAAGGAATATTTTAAGACTACTAACTAAATCTTGGACTAATGGAGGTGCCATTACCTATACTGGCATTTGTTTACTTTCCATTTGCAAGCAATCGAGCATAGACCACGGCCCGATTGCAAGCGTGGTCAATCCTTCATCATTATTGGACAACTGCATCACGATCACTTGCACACAGAAAGTAAACAAATACCAACTTAGCTGACAACACCTGTATTCAAACAGTTGATTTATATGAAAGGCAAAAGTTTCTGCCCCTGTACATAAATCCAGCCTTGAATCTCAGGTGTAGTCTAAAAATTGAAAGTTTTGTGAACCCTTACCTTCATGGATCAGATCTTCCCGGACAGGATTGGTAACTAAAAATTCATCCGTTAAAAACTGCAGTACTTTCAGAACATTTTCAACATCAGTAAACGGATACTCTGCAGAATGCATGACTTGCAGGAGACCATCGTTGAAGGATTTGTCACTTTCAATGTAAGATCTTAGAATTTCAGGCCAAGTCATGGCATCAATAAAATAAAGACATGCATTCACACTGTCTTTCTGATCTAGAGGACCAAAATGCGTCTGCTGTGCTTCTTCCTCCCTCAGTACAGCTTTCAACAACATTATATGAATTTCCGCCAGAAGATAACTTTGATCTGCATGCATTAGCGCTGCACAAAAATCTTCAAAACGAAAGGGGGAAAGTCGCGCCAGGGTTCGAAAGTGTCTCAGAACTTCATAAATTGATAAGGCTTGCATGACGTATTCTTTGGGAATCATAAGGTCGTCGGATGATTTTGGTAGAGTTAATGGAGGGATTTCTCTATCCTGTAGCCAAATTGGTTCAGGACTGACCGCTTTCCTGCGGTAGGTACCAGCTGTTGAATAACTAGAAATGGAGTAATCACTATCACTTTCTTTCTCAATTTCTAATTGGCTACTTTCCATGTCACTATCACTGCGGTCCGTATCACTTTTGTCGCTTACATCATCACCGAAATCAGAGCCGTAGTGGTAATCCGAATTCTTGTCATCAATTTCAGAGGCGTAACTGCGCCGCGTATTTCCTCCACCTTTTGATTTACCTCTCACTCTACCTCTGAGACCACTCCGGGTGATGCTGCGCCGACTACCATCACTACCATGAGGCGATGAGGCTCTTGATGCAATAGGTGTGCTAGTCCTGGAACTAGGAATATCAAACTCTTTCCCTGATTGATTCAACAAGTATTTGGGCTTCTTTAAAAGATGGTACTGAAATTTCCTGGGCTTATCGGGCCCTTGGTTCTTAGGAGGCCTGCCTCTCCTCTTGGCCCGTCCGGCGGACATCATTTTAGACTTCGGGAGTTTTTTCAACTGTCAACACGTGGGTAACAAAAACAAACGACTGTAAACAAAACTACATTACACAGCTTATCACCACCGCATACGAGCGTATAACGTTCAATTTGCGCCATTATGAGAGGTCACGTGACGTCCGAGCATATTTGAAAGCTTTGCTTAAGTACATCATTACGATAGAACAGAATACACTAATTGTGAATCGAAAGTTCATTCATTACGCTTAGTGACAATGAGTACAAAAATCTGATCAACACGTAAAAACTGAAGTAATTGTGGGGCAAACCGACGCGGACAGCAAGCTGAATGATACTCTAGTGCAGAACGCACGAAGCGTTTCTCTGATTGGTGGAAGTAAACGCCGCCATGTCAATATGACAGACAACACTAAACCTGAGGTGAAATAACCGAAATGAATAGTTCAGAGACGGACGTGATCGAAGTGAATAATAAGGTCAAAATCAAAGGCACAAATTTGATAAACTTCCTGGTGAGAAACCACAAATAATTGGCGTCCCGAGATACATTCCGAACAATCAACTTCTAACTCCATACTCCAATGCTCACATCATAACCGTAGGCATCGCCATCGAACAAGGCGGATAAAGAATGGTGGTCGCATTCCGTCGCATTTCGATTTTGGCTGCCATCTTGAAGCGTTGTGACGTCAGGTGGGTACGGGTTTTGCTGCAATACGGTTGCGTTCCAGAATTCATCGCGATGTAAATCGATTGAATCGGTTGTGCATCAAAGTGTTTCCGGGACCGATGAATAGTAGACGATTCATCGGTGCAGATCCATCAAAGTGTTTTTGGAATTCTGATTGATTCCATCGCTATGACGTAGAGTAGATCAACCGGATCAACCAGATCAATCGTACTCCGGAGTTCGATGAAGCCGATGCACGCCGATGTAGATGACGTCGCATGACGTAATTAACCTCCAAATATAAACTAAATAAGTAAATAATATTTCCTGACAATAGACAATTTTTCCATTATTCAGTATTCTCCTTTTCTATAAGATGTATTAGGTTTTTTTAGTTTATTTCGAATGGGAATAATATTGGGAGCCTGTGATAATTCGTGGTTTTCATCTATTGACTATGAAATTATGTATGTATCCAGGAAGTTTTGATCATCTGAAAGTGTTGTGTTGCCATGGTCATGATATTACCCGCGGACAGATTGGTACTAACAGATCAAAGGTCATTTCATTTTAATTTTATATTCTGCTGCAACTAGGCTCCAAGTTAATTGGCTGTAACATTGTGTAAGTGCAATATTTGAATACCTTCGTCCTTTGACAAAAGCAAAGTGCGCTAGTGGTTTTCCATCGGCACTATGAGCTATCAATTTGATACGTTTTCACTTACCTTTCCGTGCCATTGCCTATCGCTTTCAGCATTGATTCAAAATTATTTTTCGATGTTAACATGGAAGTTTCATCACTAATAATTTGTATGAAGAGCTGAATTTATCTCCTGCTATAGGAATGTTCTATAATGGTTTGCAACGCCATCAATGCCAACTGGACACATTCTGCCTTCAACCCCAGATGAGTAGGGCCTACCCTCAGTATAAGTAAGTAAAAATTGAAGTTGCTTTTTCTTCATCTTAGAGGCAGTTCTGAAAATATCAGACATGCATTCATATGGGTGTTTGGGTTAGCGTCACACTGTTATGTCTTGACGTAAGTGGGGCCCGTAGGTCACAAAAGCATTATCAGAGGGAAAGGAGAGGGATCAATCCAAAATTGAGCGCCATATATTTAACAAACAGCCTCATATCTGAATATTCTTATTCATAATTAATTTTCACTAGGAGAAGTTTCGTTGGTCTAAGTACTTCAAAGAATATACAAAATATGAGATTTTCATCCAAAATTTCTGTAGAATAGGACTTAACATCTTTGGACAAAGTGTCAAAGAATGAACACAGTCTGCGAGTCTGCGGAAGTCTCAGTACTGAGCTCTGACGCAGAGCATGATTGAATCGTCTGAAATGCTATCTAACTCATTTAATAAATATTGATAGTTACCAAGGTTTTGTTGCGATTGCTTCCACTGAAAGCCTTGTTACAAAGCCTGCCAATAAAATTTCCTGAAACCAGGCAAACTTGCATGTCCATCTGCACAACCTTAGTTCTCAAGAAATATTCAGTGGCTCAGCTTCCTTGTTGAGGACTTTAATGCTCTCCTCAATGGTTGATTTCTCGCCTGAAGTTGTTGGGGTATTCAACAATGTGTGCGAACAAAGTAGCGACAAGCCACTGAGAAAGCGATCAGGACTACTTACGTATTGAGAGAAATGCTTACTAACACTTAAACGGACAGATGATTCCTGCAGGATCATCTGTTTTGACTGCCTTTAATCAGCTGGTGAGATCAAACATCAGATCTCTAGCATGTAAGCAGAAAGATATCATGTAAAGATAAGTGTACAAGGTGTCCAATGACATGGAAAGAGCAGTTACAAATAACTTCAAGAAAGCAAAACACTCTACGATAGCAACTTCACATGGGTAAACTTTAACAGATGGCAGGACAAGATTCCAAACAAATCCTGCAGAATAATCGAAAAACTCAAATGACTGAATTGCCAGCTATTTCGCTACTAGCATGAAGCCCCAATCACTTAAAATTGAAGAAAACGAAAACAGATTGCTTCGCTGATAAGTGATAATAGTAAACAAAACAAACCCGTTCATCGAAAATTTCATCAAAGCGTTTTTGGGATCAATCGGGGATACGTCATCTGACCTTCCATCAGACTCCATCAGTTACGTCAGCATGACGCCATGTTCTACTATACTTCTGATTGACGATCCATCAAAAAGATGAATTCTGGAACGTAACCTACGTCTGGCAATACGAGGGTTAAGCCGGCCCCCCTCGACCTCGGCCCTCGGCCAAACCAATGTACCTGATCCTGATACCGTGTGACGTCCAGAGGGTACGAAATGCAACCACCAATATTTATCCTCCTTGGCCATCGTAGAGAACAAAAAGGAGGTGTTGGCATCTTGAGGATTGTTTACCCCCTGACGTAGGTCGGCACAACCTAGCCAACAAAATCTGGAATTCAAAGTATAAAAAACGAACCACAACGTCCGATTTTTTTGCTTAAATCAACTCATGATATCATTTTAAACACTTAATATAGAATAGCCTTATTCTATAAACTACACCATTTCTATGAAAGTACATGATAAAACTCGTCCGCACCGATCTACGTCATCAAGAAATACAAGATGCCCGAATGCCCGAGATGCAAACACCTCCTTTTTTTCCTCTATTGCCGGAACAAAAGCATAGAATAACGAGACTATCGTCAACAGAAGCGAAAGCCGCCGCCATTTTCATGTCAACAAAACATAACGAAAGGAAGCTGTTTCAATAAGTACTAGCTATGTTTGCGGTGGGTCGACGTTTTGGAGAGGTCGAATATAATAACGGATACATACGTTTTAAGGAATTGAAAGAGTTTTCTTTTAACTTATTTATCGTTGAACCGAAGAAGTACTGTAAATTCGCCTAAAATTTAATGTTTTTTTCCACTTTTTTTGTTTGTAGGTAACGTCAAAATTGGTTTCAATAAGGACCGACTCTGAGAAGAAAAATGGTAACGTTGCTTCTTACGGAGCGCTCTGTTGTGAGCGGGTGATTGCAGATTGCAGCGGATTCTCGCGTAGGATCCTAGTCCTAGTCAACTCAGAGGATCCTTCCCCCCGAACCTCGACTCATCCATCGCCCGCTCCAAAAGTGAGGTTAAGCCGGAGATTGAAAAATAACACATAAGGCGGCTGAATTCTTGAAAAATAAATATATTTTTGGCGTTTTTCGACCCCTTTCGAATGAGGAGAGCTGGCCGCATGCAATGGTACGATGAAAAATTCGATTTTTTGCAGTTATACGCGATCCTAGAGTCCCTTTATACCCAGAGTTAAGACAACTCGATTATCAGCTGACTGGCAGCCGGCCTTGTCTAGCCATGGAGGCCGAAACGAGTGCACCCAAACGAACGATATTGAGGGATAAGGATCAG